CACGCCCACCACTGGGGCTGATTTTCATGGCTATGCCCATCACTAGGGCTGATTTTCATAGCCACGCCCACCACTGGGGCTGATTTTCATGGCTATGCCCATCACTAGGGCTGATTTTCATAGCCACGCCCACCACTGGGGCTGATTTTCATGGCTATGCCCATCACTAGGGCTGATTTTCATAGCCATGCCCATCACCAGGGCTGATTTTCATAGCCACGCCCATCTCCAGGGCTTATTTTCATAGCCACACCCACCATAGGGCTTGTTTTCATAGCCACGCCCATCACTAGGGCTGATTTTCATAGCCACGCCCATCACTAGGGCTGATTTTCACGGCCACGCCCATCACTAGGGCTGATCTTCCGGGTAGGGCTTCTATTGCACACCTGCTCAGACACCCTTCTGGGGCTTGTTTCTCGGGTAGGGCTCATTTTCGGGGAAGCACGGTCCTTAAGAGACCACTGCCAGATTCCAGGTGGTGACGATTCACCCCCATGTTTCCTTCCAAGAATTTCACGGTTTTAGTTCTCTTACACGTAGGGTCCCTGATTTCATTTTCGGTTCATCGTGGCATCCTGTTTTGACTCCCGTTTACCTTCTTTCTTTCCTAGGAACCCCTGAGAGCCAGGGGCTGCACGTTTTCAATCTGACTTCCCTGAGCAAGTCGGAAAGCATTCTGTCCGCTACGCTGCACCTGCCCTTCGGGGAGCTGGCCACCGCCAGCCCGAGCTGCCCAGCGTCCCCGGGGTGCCCCCATCAGATAGGCATCTCCGCGTGGACCCTCACGCCCGGCAGAAACCAAAGCCGGCTCCTGGGCCACCTGTCCATTGACCCGGCCAGGCCCCCTGGAGACGCCGCAGCCTGGCTGTCTAAAGACGTCACGCAGCTCTTAAGGAAGGCCAGGGACAACGGCCAGCTCCTCCTGGGGCTCAACTTGACCGCCGAGGGCCACCCACCTCCGAAGAGGACGTCCCTTCCTCCGGAGCCTTACATCCTGGTCTATGCCAACGACGCTGCCATGTCTGAGCCGGACAGCGTGGCGTCTAGCTTTTGGGCACGCCGGGATGTTGTCACGGGGGCCGCGGCCCAGCTGGACGGCCACATCGGAGCCACCCTGTCCCTGGAACAGAGGAGGAGGATGAGGAGGAGGAGGAGGAGGAAGCGCTCTGCGGCCGCCCTGCTGCCCCTGCAGAACAACGAGCTTCCCGGGGCGGAATATCACCAGTACACCAGGGACCAGGTCTGGGGCCAGAGGGAGCCTTACAAGGCCCTGCAGACCCAGCCCCCCGAGAAGGGCAGAAGCAGAAAGAAACAGAGGAAGGGCTCCCCCCAAAAGAGTTCCCAGACGCTCCAGTTCGACGAGCACACCCTGAAGAAGGCGAGGAGAAAGCAGTGGACCGAACCCCGAAATTGCGCCAGGAGGTACCTGAAAGTGGACTTTGCGGACATCGGCTGGAGCGAGTGGATCATCTCCCCCAAGTCCTTCGACGCCTACTACTGCTCCGGCGCCTGCCAGTTCCCTATGCCCAAGGTAGCCT